ATGTTTTCAAAGAAGCGGTACATGTATGTATATGCAATTTTCTATCAATACTGACAAAAAATGGTCAAATCTAAAACTTTTGATTTTTCGAATGATTTTTGATGTATGTGTGCACAGCCGATGACCGGTCCCTTTCCACAAATTGTGTGAATTCAGTGGAAAAATAAAAGTACTGAAACTGCCGCAAGCGGAGTTTTTTGCAAAAAGTATGAGATACCAAGGATATTTCGAAAGAGAGTGCTTCTGGAGACAAAACGAACGCAAGGACTGCCAGCATGCTTGCTGCTGTAGCACTGTTCAAGAGTTGCCGGATGTCCAAATCGAGGGCCGTAGCCTTATCTAAGTGAATTTACTGCGGGAAGACATTCCTGTCTTTTGTTTCACTGTTTTATATATACTTTATTATGCGTTTTTTGCAGCTATGCAGTGCAGAAAATGCACTTTGACGAGGGGTCAGGACCTATAAAAGCTACATGGCTGAAACTTTGGGAACTTAATCCTTAATCTACATGCACGTGCGGGCCCAAATCCCCAAAATGGGCGTTTTTATCCGCGTGGCAAACACGTACGGGTGCGCGTAATCTTTTTTCGGGTAACTCGTAAACTTGAGAAGCTAGAGGATTGGAATTTTAAGGGGATGTTCTTCGTCCAAGTAGTTATTAATGAGCTCAAACCCAGACACCATGTATGCATGGTACAGTTTTCTTTCGGATAAGTTGCTAACTCGGGAACTTGAGGAACTAGAAGACTGTAATTTTAAGGAAATATTCCCCGTCCACGTAGGTGTTAATGAGCTCAAAAACGCTTTCCGCGCGTGCATGGTTCCTATGTACGGGCCTGTGAATTTTTTTGCGGGTAAACTGCTAAACTGGGAGCCAGGAAAGCTAGAAAGCTAAAGTTTTGAGGGGATATCCTCCGTCCAAGTAGGTATTAATTAGCTCAAACCCAGTCTCTGGTAAGCGTGGTACCTGCGTACTCGAAAATCAGGAAGAAAGTTTTAGAGCTCAAGAAACATAAAAGCCCGGTCGGTGGCACTGTGCAATTTCACTTCTTCTGAGAGTTGCTTTATCAAACAAAATCTTTTTATGTACGAATCTGTTGGGCCTTAAAAGGTAACTTAGTTCCAACAATAGCAG